CGGACTCAGGAGGAGCATGCTGGACATTTGCAATTGGTTTTGAGTGTGTTGAGAGAGCACAAGCTGTATGCAAAATTGTCCAAGTGTGAATTCTGGTTGAGTGAGGTGACATTCTTAGGACATGTTATCTCTGCCACCGGTATCCAGGTAGACCCCAGCAAGATTTCAGCCATAGTGGACTGGAAGACTCCGCGGAATGCTCGTGAGGTGAGGAGCTTCCTTGGGTTAGCCGGTTACTATCGTCGATTTGTTAAGGGCTTCGCCTCGATCGCTACTCCGTTGAACAAGCTACTGCGGAAGGACATCAAATTTGAGTGGACAGAAGCGTGCCATCGCAGTTTTGATCAACTGAAGGAGTGCCTGACCCAGGCACCAGTCTTGATTCAACCTACTCCTGGCATCGAGTATACCATCTATAGTGACGCATCTCATAGCGGCTTAGGTTTTGTACTGATGCAGTTGAGTAAGGTAGTGGCCTACGCATCGAGACAGTTGAAGACTCACGAGGAGAACTACCTGACACATGATTTAGAGTTGGTAGCTGTGGTGTTCGCCTTGAAGATTTGGCGCCACTACATCTTTGGAGAGAGAATTCACATCTTCACCGACCACAAGAGTTTGAGGTACCTACTCACCCAGAAGGAGCTGAATCTTAGACAACGTCGATGGTTGGAGCTGATCAAGGATTATGATTTAGTCATTGAGTATCACCCGGGCAAGGCTAACATCGTGGCCGATGCTTTGAGCAGAAAATCGTTAGCCGAGCTACAGCTTCAGTCTCCGTTAGAGCAGGAGATCTGTTCAGCACAGAGAGATGATGTGTTTTGTCAGAAGACTCGAGAGTTAGTTCCTACAGGAAAGAGGCCCGAGTTTGCAATTCGCGATGACGGAGTCTTGTACTATCGTGAACGCCTAGTGGTGCCCCGCGCTGGAGTGAGGGATCGCTTGTTACGCGAGGCTCACGGAACCGTATACACTATGCACCCAGGTAGTAACAAGATGTATCAGGATTTGAAGAAATCCTATTGGTGGCCAGCTATGAAAAAGGAAATCTCCGAGTTCACTGCGCGCTGTTTGACTTGTCAGCAAGTCAAGGCTGAGCACCAGGTTCCGACAGGGTTGCTGCACCCTCCTACCATTCCGGAATGGAAGTGGGAAAGGATCACTATGGACTTTGTGATCGGATTGCCACGATCTTCACGAAAGAATGACGCCATCTGGGTCATTGTTGACAGGTTGACAAAGTCCGCTCATTTTCTACCCGTCAGACGTGACTC